CTTCACCAAAATTAAAAACGTTTGTGCTTCAAAGGACATCATGAGAAAAAAATGAAAAGGCAACCTTCAGAATGGGAGAACAGATTTGCAAATCCTACATCTGATCAGAAACTTAGATTATATAAAGAACTCTTAAATCCATTAAAGACAAACATGTTATTCATGACCCTTTGTTAAAGACAGAGCAGGGTTGGGGTCAGTGCGTAGAAAAGCACTCAGAGGAAGCATCCTGGAGAAGGGGCTTCTGGCCAGACTGACTTGATGAGATCCTTGTGGAGGCTGGCCATGGTGACGGGATATCCAGGTGGCCAGATTTCGGGGGGAGGGGATTTTCACTAAACTGACTTGGCAGGATTCTCTCTCAAACTGGATTTTACAAGGACAGAGAAGCCAAGGTCGGTCCTAGTCAGCCAACAGAGGCTTCTGCATGGATGTAGGCTAATCTATGCATGTATAACCGGCCCTGAGGTTCTGCAGAGAACCGGTGAGGAAGGGGTCACAAAGGGAGACCGCCGTTGCCAGACCTGTGCTCACAAGGGGGTGGGAAGAGGCACTTGTGAAGGAGAACTCCAAGAAAAAGATGAGAGAGAATCTAGGACACTGTGAAGTAAATTTCACCTTCTCTTAGTATTTTATGTACATTAATCTGGGGGAATTTGTTCATTTGGGATGCATGTTTTTCTGATAAACTTTAAAATATGAAAATGGCTTATATACTAACCTAAAAATTAGGACTAAATGAGTTTTCTCTATCAACTTCAGACCTATGTTTCTGTGACTAAAGTTTATCAATAGTAAATTTGAAAAGCACTGGGATTTTTAATTGACTACAGATGTGACATAATCTAGCAGCCGAATGTGGCTGTTGAGTCACTGTCTTTGGATGGTTTTTAATCATCTGATGGCTGCACCACAGAGATGAATCGTCCTCGCTGTCCTACTCACTGAGTAGCTCACCACTGCAGCATATAGGACATTCTCTTAAGAACATTGTTAAATGGCCATTGACAATCTATGATGCCTTTAGGGCAACCGTGAAGAATCCAAAAATCATGACAAAGGAAAAACAGGTGAAAGACCAGAGGAAGAGAACCCTCTTCACCATTAGAGGACTGTTAGATGGTGAGGAGAAGCGCAGAGTCGAGATGGTGGTTGACTGTGGGTGGGACCGAGATGGTGGTTGACTGTGAGTGGGAATAAGCCATCCCCAGCTTCAGTAGCCCTGTGGGCAGCTCCCACCACATGGTCCTTGGGGGACCAGACTACTCCCTCCTGTGGGTATGTGTCTGGGACCTGAGCCCTCCACTTGATCCTGGAGAGGAGGAGAAAGCCCACTCCAGCCCTGGCTAGACCCTGGCCCTCAGCCCCATCTCAGCACCAGACAGCAGGGAGAGTTGGATAGAGTGAGTTTTTAGTTTTTGCCACAGAAATACACTGACAATTTGTTACTGCAAAGGACAGAACCAATAGGGTGGCACTCCAGGGAGCATATTTCTCCAGTTTCTGCATTTATAAGTGAAATTGGCCTCTGAGTTTGTATGTGCACACAAGCAACTTCAAAGCACAAAAGTAAGACGCTTTGCTTATTTTTCTGTTCTCTGGAAAACGTTGACTAAGTTGGAATTATCTGTTCCTCGAAAGGTTTGAATAATTCGCCCAAGAATTGCTTAAGCCGAACACTTGGAGTGACACTGAGCAGTTTCATAATTTATCATTGTTATTCATCTGCCTTAGTGTTCTAGGCCTGAGGTTTTTTCTCTCTGTGTTTCTGGGGACAATTTTGGTAATTTCGAGTTTTCTAGAAAATTACCATAATTTTTGGTCCCTGTTTTCACATGTAATTACATAGAATAAAATACAGACCTTTTTTTCATATTTTAGTTTATTTTTTACCTATGGTTATCTCTACTTTTACAGTTCTAATTCTGTTTATGTTTTCTTTTTCTTAATGAGTTTATATGCTTATCGAGTATTTTTTAAATAGTGTTTTTACTGATTTATTTTTTAGATATTTTGCAATACTTTTAATTGCCTTTTATAGTGTTTTTTTTTTTCAGCTGCTTCTAACTCTTTTAAATCCTAATTATATTTATAAACTCTGAAAACATAAACTTACTTTCTCATCATCAGGAAACTCAGTGGGTGGCAAGTGTATACCAAGATTTCTCTATTATCTTCCACTAAAACATCATTTTAGTAAGAATCCCATATCGGCCTTATGAGACCTTTTGTTCAGAGGGTCAACGGGTGGCCTGGGAATTGGGCAGACCCAGGTTTATGTGTCAGCTGTGTAACCTAAAAAAATTACTTAACTTTCCTGAGCCTCTTTTTTAAAAAAAAAAAAAATGTAGAAAATGAACCTAGTAATAGTGTCTGTATCACAGGTTGTTCTAAGAATTAGACACGCTGTGTTTTAAGCACAATACCTGGCAATATTAAGACTTGGTGGCTCAGCCTGTAATCCTGCGCCTTTAGGAGGCTGAGGTGAGTGGATTGCCTGAGCCCGCAGGTTCGAGACCCGCCTGGACAGCGAGACCTCATCTCTACAATAAATCAAAAAATCAGCCGGGTGTGGTAGCGCATGCCTGTAATTCCGGCTACTCGGAAGAATGAGGTGGAAGGATTGCCGGAGCCCAGCAGGTCGAGGCTGCAGTGGCCGGAAGCTGCCACTGCACTCCAGTCTGGATGACAGAGTGAGACTCCAACTCAAAAAAAAAAAAAAAAAAAAGACTTGATAAGTCCACACTTGCCTCTGAGTGTCAGCCCCCTTTCCAGTATATGAAAGGTGAATAATAAACTTTACATCTTTCTACTTTCAAAATAAAAAGACTTGATAAATCCTGAGTATTAGCTATCTTCAGGTCAATATTAAACATTGCCTTGTTAAACAGGATTTTAGTTCATGTGTACACATTGCAGGAAATTCAGAAGTTCAGTCTGAGAGTCATGTCACTGAGCCCAAACTGACTTTGGTAAGTGAGAAGTCTGTAGCAGAAGACCTCAGACTACTTCAGACTGTGAAGTTGAAGAGAAGCAACGAATAAATGCCATTCTGTTTTGTGTGTGTGTGTGTTTGTGTGTTTCTGTTCTTCCTAGTGTGGAACTGTCTTTTGTTTAATAACATCAGCAACTGTGAAGGGTCTGAGATTTCATCCTGCTTGGAAGCTATAAAGTTAGCCACCAAACAGACACGAGTGAGATTCCTGAGTCAGAGACAAAGGATACTTATTGCTCATAGCAGCAGCAGAACAGCCAAAGTGTCATAGCTTCTGTGGCTGTCGTCTGTATAGACATCCTTGTAAAAATGGTTTAGAACAAAAAGACGTCAGTGCCAGTGCTCCCAAGACACAAGAGACCCGGGAGAACTGTCTCCCAACCAGTCATTTGAGAATTTAGGAGAATTGTTAAAACATCTGAATGACAGATGCTTGCAATTTAAAGTGTAAAAATAATTTGACTCGAGCTTCTCAGTTATGGATTCCTCATCTCCTCCGCTTATTAGAATGTGATTAGCACTGTTTCAACATGTTAACCTCGTGGACACGGGACAGATCTGTAGGATTTTGCTGCTGTTGTGATGCGGAGCTCAAGCTCACTGTTGCAGAGTAATCTTCCTTTAGGCTAGACCCTGGGACACAAAGGACATTTGTTTTTCCTGTACCCTGTGTGTGAGGTTTTTACCATAACAGGACTTTTCTTTATTATTTGTACATTTCTTATTATAAGCCTTCAGTCATTGCTTATGCTTCTGAAGGCAAAAGAAAACCTGAATCTGTCTTTTTAAAACCAATCTGTGGACTGAGCACAGTGGCTCATGCCTGTAATCCCAGCACTTTGGGAAGCAGAGGTGGGAGGATCACTTGAGCCTGGGAGTTCAAGACCAACCCAGGCAACATAGCAACACATGGTCTCTACAAGTCATAATAAAAAATTACCTGTTGTAGTCCCAGCTTCTCAGGAAGCCAAGGTGAGAGATCACCTGAGCCCAAGAGGTCGAGACTGCGGTGAGCCATGACTGTAGCACAGCACTCCAGCCTGGGTTACAGAGTGAGACTTCCAACTCAAAAATATATATGTACTACATAAAAATAAAAAAATAAAACCCAGCTGTGTTCCTCCAGGAGGCAGAGGTGTTATGTTCAGCTGTCCACCCCTCAATCTTCCTTGGCCACCAACCTTACTGATTCTGTCTTTATTTGATTCCGGGAGCGGATGTGTAATAAGAGGGCTTTTTTTGTTTTTGTTTTTGTTTGTTGTTGTTTTTGAGTTGGAGGCTCACTCTGTCACCCAGACTGGAGTGCAGTGGCCGCTCCCGGCCACCGCCGCCTTGACCTGCTGGGCTCCGGCGATCCTTCTGCCTCAGCCTTCCAAGTAGCTGGAACTACAGGGGCATGCTACCATGCTTGGCTCATTTTGATTTATTGTAGAGATGAGGTCTCACCAAGTTGCCCAGGTGGGTCTTGAACCCGCGGGCTCAGGCAGTCCACTCACCTCAGCCTCCCAAAGGCACGGGATTACAGGCTGAGCCACCGAGCCCGGCTTATTTTTGTTCTTATAGTAGACTTCTGTATTATTTGGTCAAAATGTAACTTGGAAATTTACAAATTGATGGCACCTACTGTTTTACTAGCCACAAATAACCAATAAAATTGATTTGGGGCCTGCTCTTATCATACCAGAACTTTTTGCTTCTTTATTAGTCATCTGTTTTATTTTTGTTTACTTAATGGCATGCAGAATTTCTCTCAAAGGGTGAAAGTTACTAACTGTAGAACTTTTAAATTTAAAAGGACATGTATATTAACAACTTAATTGTCATTCCACTGCTTCTTAAATGTCTTGCCTTTTTTACAGAAAGTACTGATTACTAAGTGTTTACTGAAGTTTTCCCTTACATGACACATAAATGTCTTTGTAGTCTAACATGATATTAGTGGGTATAGACTTAATATTTCTTTTAATTTGTCAACTAAACTGACTAAATAATTTTGTCAAAGCAGATTGGAGACATAAAAACAGCCGAGAAATATTTTCAAGATGTTGAAAAAGTAACACAGAAATTGGATGGACTACAGGGTAAAATAATGGTTTTAATGAACAGGTAAATATTTTCTAAACTGTTACTTTTCTCAAATTTCCCAAAAACTGTGCTCACTGAATAGTAAAACTCTTCTTTCCTGTCCTATGTCTCTCCAAAATGAAAGCCCCAAGAAGCACACTGGCATCTTCTTGAATTCCAGTGATGTTTGGTTTTTTTTGTTGTTTTTTTTTGAGTTGGAGTCTCACTCTGTCGCCCAGGTTGGAGTGTAGTGCCAATGATTTTTTTTTGTCATAAAAACTGGTTTTAAGGAGACATTTTCCCCCTTGTTCTTCGAAGTACTGCTTTGTGTTGCCGTCATGTTCGACATACATTTGCATAAATGTTTATGATCTCCAGTGCACATGGATGCGTGTGTCTTGGTGTTCTAGGACTGGCTTCCGTGAGTACAGCAGCACATAGTAATGAGCAGCTCCGTGTAAATGCACGGTATTAGGAGGAAGCCTGCACCCAGCATAAAGCACACACTCAAGGTCAGAAAGTAAAAATAAAGCAGGTGTCACTTTCTATAGCAGAAAGTCATTTTAGGTGAAGTTAGTGTCTAAATTAATAAAAACTAGGATGGCTTTAACTTGCTAGCCAGGATCCACAATGTGGTTAGTCAGCCGATACATCACACCTCTGCCTAGAGATCATGAACACCAGACGGCTCAGAGAATGTTACATGTTTCTATTGTGCATTCGGTTTCGTTGGTCTCCGCCCTGACTCTCTGTGTTAACTGCTTATATGTTGTGTGTGTTACAGAGCATTCCTTCACCTTGGTCAAAATAACTTTGCAGAAGCCCACCGATTCTTCACAGAGATTTTAAGGATAGAACCAACAAATGCAGTGGTAAGATCCCTAAGTGGAAATACCTTCAGTAGCCATGGAGTACTCCAACTTCTGTGTTTCGCAGATGCTAGAAATATGCACTAGTATCATCTAGGTTGGCGCCTGTTGCCACTCTCCAGTCCACTGGTGCGAGCACTGCTGGTAGCTGTGGGGGAGGCAGCTCAGCAGGGCACCTGGGCTCTCTGCTCAGCAGCTCTGTCCTGCGCCTCAGCACATCTGGGCACAGGCGGCATGGGACCGGCTGCCATGTGCCAACCCTTGGGGTATGCTCCTCTCTAGGCCAACAACAATGCTGCTGTGTGTCTGCTCTACCTGGGGAAGCTCAAGGATTCGCTGCAGCAGCTGGAGGCCATGGTGCAGCAGGACCCCAGGCACTACCTGCACGAGAGTGTGCTGTTCAACCTGACCACCATGTACGAGCTGGAGTCATCCCGCAGCATGCAGAAGAAGCAGGCCCTGCTCGAGGCCGTTGCTGGCAAGGAGGGAGACAGCTTTAACACGCAGTGCCTCAAGCTGGCCTGATCTGCCCCAGGCCACTCCAGGAACCACCCAGATCTTTGTAAGCTGTGTACATGGGAGCTAATGTGTGACTGTGACTCCGAGGGATTCAATAAAGCTCTGATTTAATTGACATCTGGGAATGTGTCTTCTTAGTCTTGAGCCACGGCCTGGGCAGAGACTGTCTGGCATCTGCCAGACTCCAGCCCACACAGTCTCGGCAGCTCTGACCTGTTTATGAACGTGGTGCAAGCTTGCAAGAGAAGGAGGCTCCGGCCAGGCTTGGTGGCTCAGCTGTCATCCCAGCGCTTTGGGGGCCGGGATGAGAGAGTTGCCTGAGCCCGCGAGTTCAAGACCAGCCCAGGCAACTTAGCGAGACCTCATCTCTACAATAAATTTTTTAGAAAATTAGCCAGGCGTGGTAGCACGCACCTGTAGCTACAGCTACTTGGAAGGCTGAGGCAGAAGGATCGCCGGAGCCCAGCAGGTCGACACTGGGGTGTCTGTGAGTGCCTACAGCGCTCCAGCCTGGGCAACAGAGTGAGACTCCAACTTAAAAACAAAATGTATTAGAAAAGATAGATGTTGAAAAACTCTTGCCATAAGCTCTTTTAATAAAGTGAAGAAATTTTCAAGTACTTTAAGTTTTTTGTTTTTTTCTTTTTTGAATTGGAGTCTCACTCTGTCACCCAGGCTGGAGTGCAGTAGCACACTCAAGGTCACCCCAGCCTCATCTGCTGGGCTCAGTTGATCCTTCTGCTTACATTAAGTTTTGTTTTTTTGGTTTTTTTTTTGAGTTGGAGTCTCACTCTGTCACCCAGGCTGGAGTGCAGTGGCACACTTCCAGCCACCACAACCTCGAACTGCTGAGTTCAGGTGATTCTTCCACCTCAGCCTTCCAAGTAGCCGGAACTATTATGTTTCTATATGGATTTTTATATTGTTGTTTCCAGGTCTGAGAAGAATAATGTTGATAATTTAACGGGTGTAGCTTTGAATCTATAGATTGTCTTTGGTTGGATGGACATCTTAACAATGTTGATTCTTCCAACCCATGAGCATGGAATATTTTTCCATTTATTGTGTCCTCTTTGGCTTCTTTGAGTAGTGTTTTGTAGTTTTTGTTGTAAAGATCTTTCACCTCTCTTGTTAGGAAAATGTCAAGGTATTTCGATTTTTTGTGGCTATTGTGAATAGGATTGTGCTTTTTATTTGGTTTTCTATCTGTTTATTGGAGGTGTATAAGAATGTGATTGTCTTTTGCATGTAAACCCAAATTTTAAGAATCTTAGAAAATGCAGGAGACACCCTTACAGAAATCGGAATAGGCAACCAATTCCTGATCAAAACCTCAAAAGCCCATGCCATGAGAGATTAGATAGACAAGTGGGATCTCATCAAATTGAAATGCCTCTGCAAAGCAAAAGAAACCATTGAGAGAGTAGGGAGACAGCCCACAGAATGGGGGACAAATATTTGCCAACTGCATATCTGACAAAGGCCTAGCATCCAAGATCTATAAGGAACTCAAACGTGCTGAAAGGAAAAAAACAAATAGCCCAATTAAAAAGTTAGCAAAAGAGATGAATAGACACTTCTCAAAAGAAGATATACAAGCAACTAACAGACACATGAAAAACTTCTCAGCCTCACTAATCATCAGAGAAATGCAGACAAAACCACACGGAAATACCCACCT